TTTTAGTTGACTGTTGTGTTTTTTTCGTTTGTATGTTTTGTTTGCTTGTTTGTTTTTAGTGTTTGGCTTTCTAGTTATAAGCTTGGCTATTCCACTTTATAGACAGATTGCGATAGATATGAATAATTGCCAAGGCTTAGTAGTGATGTAACTTGGTAAAAACATTCACTTTTATGTTTTCACTTTTCGAATTTATTAAAAAATACAGAGATGGACTTTCATTCCCAATGGTAAAGGAATGGATTGACTACTACAGGATGAAAGCATAAAACTATGCCAACTTTTATATTTCAAACTATTTTTCTCTCCAAATTAGATCTAAAGTAGTTTTTACCTGTTTGAGGCTATATAATTATTATTGTCAATGAAATGTAGTGCTATTTGTCTGTTTATGTATATGTTTAATGCTGGTAGACTGATTATTTATCCCACTCTACTACAGAAAGAAACAATATTGCCATTTAAAGTTGAGATTTACAACACGTTTTGTGATCACTTCTATTGTATGGGTAGGAAAAAGCAAATGACCACATTTGGATATGATGAAATCCATGAGAATAAATAATAATGAGTGTGATGAGAATGGTAGGAAAAAGACTTATAAAAAAGACTGCTTATGTGTTTCCATGATCAACTCACACAGTTTCCTGTGGGTGATGACTTTTCCCCCAGTAATTGGAGGCTACATAATAGTTCATAGGAGCCTCAGTTTTGTAATTTGGAAAAACTTAAAAGTTGAACCTCTGTTCAGTGTATGTGTAAGACTGCAAGTTAATTTCTTAAGGAAGCAGTAAGTTGTAGGTTTTTGGTTTTTTCCCCCAACTAAAACTTTTTCATAAAAAGAAAATGTTTTGGATCTTAGGTGAGAGTAAGAAATATTAAAAAGATAAAGTATCAAGTATGTTGCCTTGTTTAAAAGGGTGCACATGGAAATAGTAAAGCTGTGAAGTATCCTGTGTGTGGATAATATTGACACATTAAACAGATGCCTAAAAGGCTTCACAACACATGACCCTGTTGTCCTAAAGCTTGTGAAAGCTGTTTTACTGTAAGTTGGGTAAATATTCTAAACTGTGTCTATGATTCTTAATTTTATTTGTGTATTATTAATAGTTTTGCTTTATTCAGAGGGCCTGTTATCAAGTATTCTCTCTTAATTGTGTATAATTCTAATGGTTTTCTATGATAGTAAATAAGACTTTAGTTTTCGTGCGGTGAAGAGTGTTTTGTTACTAAATGGTTTAACATCTAATAAAGAAGCAGGAGTAAAAGAGAACTGGGACTATGTCACGTATGCTTAGATAAGTTGCAGTTGTTGAGGGCTGGCTTCATCATCTGCTAAATGAGTCCTCGCTGATCAATCTCCTTCAGGGTGCATAAGGCAGTGGGTTTTGGATTATTTTTCTGACTGGCCTTCAGTACCACATATTACTGTCACATCCAATGGATCCTTCCTTGTAGTTGTAGAATTATTAGTAGGTACTCTTTAGAAACAAGATAATAGCTATGAAACAACTCTGAGGCATCCTAACTATATAATAAAAGCCTAATATGCGATTTGTTCAACCTGGAGTTCGACTGCTCACTATGGCATACACTGACCACCAGGGGACGGCATACAACATGGTGGGCGTCGGCGACACAGTGCTGGCAGTGGGCGGCAGTGGAGGTGCTGCCGCCCCGATGGGCCCCGACGAGAGCGGGACTGTGGCGGGATGGTGGAGCAAGTGAGCAGGTGGCGCCAGGCTAAGGCAGGTGTGAGCAGGGGCCCGATTGCCCCACAGACAGAAACCACTGGTGGCAGCAGGGGGTGGGGCCACCGCCCAGCTCCCAGGCACTGAGGGAGCCAGACAGGGGTCCTGGCCCAATCAATCGCTCTGCAGGCAGGATGGTGGAGCAGGTGATGGGGTGGCACCAGTCCACAGCGGGGCTGCGAGGCTGGGAGCGTGAGCTGGGGCTGCAAGCCTGGGGGTGTGAGCTGGGCCCCGATCCCCACAAGCCACCCCAAGGGACCCCACTAATGCACGAATTCATGCACCAGGCTTCTAGTAGTATAAATAGTAATGTCTTAGTCTGTATAGGCTGTTATAACAACAATACCAAATACTGGGTAGATTATACACTACCAAAATTTATTTCTCATAGTTTTGTTTGGAGTCTGGGAAGTCCAAAAAACTAGGCGCCAGAAAATTCTGGAGGCTGGTGAGGGCCCTCTTTCTGGTTCATCCACAGATCAGCGCCTTCTCATTGTGTCCTCACATGGTAGAAGAGGCGGAGGAGCTCAGTTGGGTCTTTTTTATAAGAGCATTAATCCCATTCACAAGGGTTCTAACCTCATGACCTAAGCACTTCCCAAAGGCCTCGCCTTTTAATACTATCACATTAGGTATTAGCCTTTTTTAAGATATGAATTTTTGGAGGAGACACAGTTATTCAGGCTATAGCTAACAGCCACCACATATATTACTACTTTGTATGTATTAACATTAATCATTTTGCTATACTTATTTTAAATGAAGTAACTTAGTCTCAGAGATGTCAAAATAACTTTCCTAGGACACATAGTCAGTTAAGAGGTAGAGCCAAAATTGGGAAATAGGTCTGTCCAGCTCCCAATGCTCTTTCTCTTCTGATTTTGCATAGTTATATTGAACAGAGTCCACATTTTTGTACTCCTGATCCAATACTTTGATGTTTGTTAGTGCAGTCATTAAAAGCCTAAATTTCAGAATCACACTGCTTGGATTTGAATTCCCACCCTTTGTTTCTGAACTTTATGATTTTGAGCAAATTCTTTAATCTCTTAGTGCCTCACATTCCTTATCTAATTTATAAGGCAGCTGTGAAGATTACATGAAATAATGTAAAGCACTTAAAATAGATATCTGGCCCATAGTAAGAGCTCAATACCTGTTCATTGTTGTTGTTCTTATTATTTAACATTACATCTATTTTCTCTAAGTATTTTTTGAACCTCCAGCTAATGCTTTATGCTTTTTAGTTAATATCATTTTATAGGTGATTTCTAGAAGTATATGTACGATATACTTTATTTATATATATACTTTTCTGACAAATAGAAATAAATTTTTAACTTTATAATTTTCACAAGCAAAAAACACATCCTTATAAGCATTCCTTGAACATCAGAGTTAACACAAAATGTGGAGAAAAGTGTAGAGAAGGGATGAAGCTGGAGCTGTAACTAGTTAAAGACAACTCCCCAAACCTTTCTAACCACAAAATTGGATTTGTAAAAGGAAAAAAATTATCAATATTATCACATTAAAATTCTTGAAATTTTTCTTTTGCTACTTTCTTATTCACTTATCTAGTCAAAGATACTTACTGGTATTGAATGTTTTCTGTGTGGCTGGTTCTATTCTAAATGATGATTAAAAAGAAAACAGTTTAAATAAACAGCCCTGCTCTCATGGGGCTTAAATTTTAGTAGGGGGATAAAGGTAAAATAAAGACGTAACAGTGTATATTAGAAGATGATAATTGCTTAAAGAAAATAAAGCAGGGAAGAAAGAAGGAAACCCAAGAAATGGTGATGATGATTGGGTGTTGGAATTTTTAAGTGAGTGGTATGGGAAAGCCTTAAGGAGAATGTGACATATGAGCAAAGATTTGAAGGACATCTGTGTGAGCCATGTGGATGGGTGTCTGCGAAATGAGCATTCCAGGAGATGGAAGAGCAAATGCAAAGGCCCTGAAGTAGGAACATGCCTGGCATATTCAAAAGTTAGTGTTATTGGCTGAAGTAAACAAGGAAGAGAGGGCCATATTGTCTGGGGCCTTGTAGGTCAAAGTAATAACTTTGGACTTGACTGAGGTAGATGACGATCCTATTCAACAATTAAGAGCAAAGGAGTACTGACTGACCATTTAATAGGATATGGCTGCTCTATTGAGAGTAGACTATAGAGGTAGGCAAGGGTGAAGCAGGGTGTAGACCTATTCAAAGGTTACTGAAGTAATTCAGATGAGAAAAAGGTGGTGGATCAGTTGATGGCTCAGTGCTCACTCATAGCAAACCAGGGGTGATATGTGGTTAGAAATTGATTAAATGTTTGCTGAAAGATTGGTGGGGAGTGTTAGATAAAGAGAAGAGTCTTTTTTTTTATGGTAAAGGTAAGTCATGACTTTTATTTAATGCATTATAAATAAAACCATTTGCACCAGCCCTAAAGTTTTTCTTGTTAATGTACTAGGTATTTTAGTTTACTTTGTAGTAAATCCACCATGTTATAATTGAAATTACTGATGCTACAGCAAAATGGGAAAGTATCTTAATAATTATTTTATTAGTTTATACCAAGCATTGTCAAATTATGGCCCAGGGTCCAAATCTGGCTCATAGCTTGTTTTTGTAAATAAAGTTTTATTGGAACACCCGTACATACATTCATTTACATATTGTCTATGGCAGCTCTCCTGCTTTTAAACAATAGAGGCCCACAAAGCCAAAAATATATACTACCTGGCCCTTTATAGAAAAATGTTTGCTGACCGTTGGTTTAGAATACTGTTTAAGAGCTGTGTCAAAATTTTTATCTGAACTTTTTCCAGCCACTCAGTGTTAAAGTATAAAGATAAAATTTAAGAGAAGACAGAAATGATAGAGAAAACACAAAGGAAGTGTTCAAATACTGGCACCAATTTAATTTCTTCCCCTTATGTTAATCTCCTTATTTATTTATTTATTTATTTATTTATTTATTTATTTATTGCTATAAATATCCACTTCCCCCTAGTCTCTGTAGTACTCTGTGCTGGAAAGTAAGTACAGCTGACTGGCTGGGGGTGGGGAGAGGTAGGTTTTTCTTACCAGTAAGACTAATTGTTGATTTCACAGCCTTGATAGAAAATAAAAAATGAGTATTAGCATTGGTGTGAGCATCAATCTTTATGAAGAATTTGACTCTTCTTATGTTTGTGTAATCCTATGACAAAGTGCAAAAAAGTAAGACTTCCAATGTTGTTTTCTTTCATAGGTCCATAATGACGGATCTATACTACCTCAGTCAAACAGATGGAGCAGGTGATTGGCGGGAAAAAGAGGCCAAAGATTTGACAGAACTGGTCCAGCGGAGAATAACATATCTTCAGGTAAGAAGGTTAGGTTAAAAAATAAACTTGAGTGAAAAAGAAGGGAAATCATAATAAAACTAAAAGTGAGAGTTGCTGTTGATTTCTAGTCATCCTAGCCTTTGCTCTTTTGAGAGTCCTTACTCATTTTACATATTTATTCAGACTCTCTGTGATGCCTTGAGTGGAATACAAAGATGGCTAAAACAAGGCCTCTACCCTAAAGGGGGCTGCTACTTATACACGCCTGAGCACGCACACACACACACACACACACACACACACACACACACACATACAACTATGCAAAATTGAAAGGTGTACATTTTATATGAGAAATATAGATGAAATCCTCAATGGAGAAAGAAGATGTTAGGGATAGTTTTGTGAAAAAGGTATTATTTGAACTAAGCTGTACAGGATAATTAGGTAGGATTTAGACACTTGAGTGGAAGAGAAGAGCACACTAGTTGGAGCATATGATGTGAGTAATGATCCATAGCTGGGAAAGGGCAATATAGGAACCCAGTGAGATACGGGATATTTTAGTTTGCCTGGAGTTTGGGGTTATATGAAAGGAGGGATGAAAAATAAGCTGGAAAAAAGGTAGATTTGGGAGCCAGATTGCAGAGGTCCTTGGGTGCAGGTTAAGCTTTATGATATATAAGTAGTAAGTGGTTACTGAAATATTTCATTTATTGCATAAAAATCACTTTAACAATAAATAGCAAAGAAAAAATCAAGGTTAAACCCCAAGTTCTAGACCCTTTTAAATTTATTCTCTTCGTTTTTTATTGTTCTTTTTTAGTTATTAATATTCATACCCATATTACATATTTGTGGGGATAGGATTGATTTACTTTTTATTTTTTTTCTTCATCTGCCAGAAGTTTTTGAAAGGTTTTTACACATAAGAGTGACATGATGAGAGTGCTTTAGTGATATTAATATGAAATAGTATTTTGGTTAACTGTGTTAGTATTGGAAGAGACTAGAGCAAGGAGACCATTTAGGATATGAGGACCATACAACAAGTGAGAATTATTGAGCTATGTGGCCGTTTGCATTGGAAGTGAAGAGGCAAATTTGAGAAAGACTGGGAAGATAGAATCGATAGGCCCTTCAAAGTAGTTAAAGAGATGAAGTGACTAGGGATATGGAGGCATCATTAACTGACAGGAACTTACAGATGGAATAGTGTTCAGTGGAATACAATATTAGTAAGTAGAATTCTTCAACACTAGTGTTGAAATTACCATGCCTATCCTTTTTAATACTATTGATGGTATACTTTCTGTGTACAATCACTGCTTTCCTTTTAAGGTTAAAAGCAGCGTGCTAGCCAGTGACTGGGTTCTGTATATTTTAAGGTGCACATTTTCTTATACTTAAATAGAGAAAAATAGAAAATCAAGTGTTTAAAGAGATCATTAAAAACGAAACTGATCTTGGCATGCTGTCTTGGTCTCATACTCCCGGGGACATTCATCAGAGGTGTCTGTAGAATGAGAAACGCTTGCCTCCTGTAGGGAAGAGGTAATTATATCCCATCAACTAGACTAGAACCTCATTCAATGAACTGTAAACAGCTGGTGGAGCAGAGCTATCATCCTCATTTAAAATGGAAATAGCTATGGTTTCTGAGTTTCTTACATTTCCACATTTTTATTAAATTTTTACCCAACAAAATTTATATTTAAACTATGCTTTGATCATGGTTCAGCTCCCCACACTGTAGCAAGAAACTGCTTTAGTTTTTTTTTCCCTCTTGGTTTTTAAGTGGCCAAGTGCTTTCACCTATAGTGCAAATTTGATCCTTTATGTGCTGATTTCTCTTTTTCTATATTGGAGAATTTCACTTGTAAGTCATGTTAATGCATTAAAACTACATTGTTTTTTTTAAATCTTTTAGGCTATAGCAAAACAGCATTTTACTTCAACCTTAATTTCAATTTCAAATATTGCTATTTAACAAATCTTTTATGCTTTTTTTTTCCATCAGAAAAAAAGAAAAAGTGATTTTTAATATTCAAGAAGACAATGGAAGTCTTAGTAAAAAAAGGTTTCAGAAAAATAATTTTCTTTAATTATTTATTTTTGTTAATTATTTAATGTTTTCATGGTCATTTTTTCTGTGTATTCTAAAAGTTTTTGAAGTCAGGAACTATATTTTTAACATCTTAGATGTCACTCATGCTTCATCTTCTCTGGGTAGAGGTGAATAAGAGTCCTTTCTCCCATTCCTCCCAAATTAAAAATATGTATTTTTAAGGAATGCCTTCTATAACTGGAATATTTATTCCCAGTGTATTTTTAAGCAGGACAGCTCTTTTAAAAAGAATGCTTTTTCACTAATTTAATGAAATGTATTAGAAAGTTTAATCAGAATAGTGGGACTGTTTATGTGGATTTTAAAGTGATTACATTACCCTGACCAGTGTTGCCCCTCTCTTTTCCTCTCTCTAAAATCAATAAAAACATATTTAAAAAATAAATAAATTTTTAAAACTAAAAGGTGATAATAATTTGTATCTAAGTAGGAAATAATAGGGGAAAGGTACAATAAAAACAAATGTTTTTAATATTTAAAATCTCTTTGGGAGACTTTAGTCATTTAAGTACCTAATTATATTCCTGACAAATAATTCAAGACTCTATAATTTACTTTCAAGGAATAATTTGGATGGTTGAAAACATTTTCAATTTCACTAGATGTTTACTCATACTGAAGTTTATTATACATACTAATGTATGTATGACTCATACATCACCAATAAGCATTTTTTAAAATCCTATTTTATTTAGAGTATAGCGCATCACTTGAGATGATCATGTGGTTTCTTCCTTTATCTTGTTGATGTGGCATTGATGAATTTTTGTATGTTGAACCACCTGAGTGGATAGACATTATATCTGAATAGATAGAGACAGGTCATTATACTATATTATCTATAAAAATCCAACACTTTTACATGTACATGCACCATCATTTCTTCTATCAAGTTAATGCATATCAGAGGCTGTCTAGGATTAATGGAAGAAGTGTAGTTAACATTCTGCCAATAAAATAGCCCTGTGGCTTTGGGTTTTTCTCTTCTTCAGATCTACCTGAGGTTTCTGGGTTTTTGTTTGTTTGCTTATTTGGAGGGTTGTGTTTATTTTTTGTTGTTGTTGTTGTTTATTTGTTTGTTTTATTTTAAATTTTGGTCTGAATCATCTTCCCATGGAGTGATTAGAGTGGCTGGGCTTGGGTTTGGAAGTGTCAGAGCTAATAAAGGAGACCATATCTTGAGGCTGTAAGTATCATTGGAAATAAAGAGAGGGTTTTTATAGTATGCCACATGAGAGGGTTGATTATGTTTAAAAGGTTAGGGATAGGATAGATACTATTGGCTTTGCAACCAAAGGATCCAGTATCTTGCCCTTTGTACTTACCTAATGGGTGAAAAAAGTAAGTAAAGCTGAACCCTTAGAGAAAGCTGGTAAATTTGAGTCCTTCCTGTGTTCAAAGCCTATATTCCATAGAGGCTTTAAATAATCTCTTTAAGTGTTCAGTGTTAGAGTTCTTTTCTTCAAACGAATGTTATGTTTTCCTTTTACATAAAAAGATAGTTCTATATTGTTCTCATGATTTGAATCCTATTTAATAAAAGAGTAATATGCAAATTGACCATCACTCCAAAACACAAGATGACCATCCCCATGTGGATACAAGATGGCTGGCAGGGGAGGGCAGTTGTAGGTGATCAGGCCAGCAGGGGAGGACAGTTGGGAGGGACCAGGCCTGAAAGGGAGGGCAGTTGGGGCCAATCAGGCCTGCAGGGGAGGAAAGTTGGGGGGGGGGAGACCCAGGCCTGCAGGGGGGGGGAAGCTAGGGGGACCAGCCCTGGAGGGGAGGGCAGTTTGGAGGGACCAGGCCTGCAGGGGAGGGCAGTTAGGGGCAACCGGGCCGGCAGGGGAGGGAAGTTGGGGGCAACCAGGCCGGTAGGGGAGGGCAATTAGGGGCAACCAGGCCAGCAGGGGAGAGCAGTTAGGGGTGACCAGGCTGGCAAGGGAGGGCAGTTGAGGGCGACTGGGCCAGCAGGGGAGGGCAGTTGGGAGCGACCAGGCTGGCAGGGGAGCAATTAGGCATCGATCAGGCTGGCAGGGGAGTGGTTAGGGGGTGATGAGGCTTGCAGGCAGAAGCGGTTAGGGGCAATCAGGCAGGCAGGTGAGCGGTTGGGAGCCAGCAGTCCTGGATTGTGGGAGGGATGTCCCAGATTGGAGAGGGTGCAGGCTGGGCTGAGGGACACCCCCCTCCCCCGCATGAATTTTGTACACCGGGCCTCTAGTTGTTAAATAAAAGTTGGCTTATCATTTTTAAAAGGGAGCAAATGTCACTGGAAACACAAAATCATTAGTTTTCCAGTAAGCAAGTAGCATTATAGATCTGAGTTAAATGTGCATTAAATGTTTTGAAAATGTGGTAGGCTTAAACTACAGGCTTTTGTTTCTGGATAAGAAGTAGTGAACACATGATTTGCTATTCTTCCTGCTAATTACAACAAAAAGAAATCCTGTACAGAGTGAAATTCCTGTGCTTTGTTTTGCCTCCTGTGTATCTTAGAACCTTCCAACCAGTGGGTAGAACAAAAAACAAACAAACAAGCATTTAAAAAAAACACATTTTGATATTTATCTACCCTATTCCAGGGGAACATCATGAAAAGTTGCTTCCCTACCCTCTCTGGGTGCCTCAGCTGTGGAGATTGAGCACATAGCTTTGTCACCACACCTGCCCTGACATAATGAAGGCACCCCTACCTCTCCCAACTGGTATTAGCATTGCAGAGACTTTGGACAAAGCGCACCATTGCCACACTGCAAATTGAGGCAGTTCCCTTCCCACTCCAACTTGAGTTGAGGGAGGGTTAGGATGAGGAGGGAGTTAGAGAAAGGGATTTTTGTGTTTGAAATTCCAGGCAGACCTCTGACTATCATGCATGAAACTGATCAGAATCACTACAGAAAGAGGTTTGATT